GGATCCTCTTCCTGGGGCCCTTGTGACATTTTAATATATCACTGCCATTCTGGGAGCACTTTCTTGGTCTCTGGCGCAACAGGATGTTTCTCGTCTTGTACTTTCCCTGCCTCTGGCCTGGAACCAGTCATTTCTCCCAGGTACTCTGGTTACTTTTATTGGAGAATGGTATTTAGAAGGCCAAATCTGGGTTCTAGGTGGTCCCATTGCTTTTGAGATGTTGTAACTCCTTATTCCTCTCACTAGGAAGTTAAATAACATAGGAAGGGGCTTCAAAAGGTTTAGGGGAAATTCTATTATCTTTTAAGTAGAACTTAAAAAAATTTTAATCAGTTTATTGGGGGTTCATACAAGTCTTACCACAATCCATACATCCATCCATTGTGTCAAGCACATTTGTACATTTGTTGCCCTCATCATTTTCAAAACATTTTCTTTCTACTTGTGCCCTTTGTATCAGCTCCTCAGTTCTTTCCCCCTCCCTCCCCACTCTTCCCTCCCTCATGAACCCTTGATAATTTATAAATTATTATTTTATTTTTTAGACTTGAAATATTTTATTATGACTCTCTTAAAAATGGTAACCCCAATTAATCATCCAAAATTCAATTGTAAACACAACAGCAGCAAATTAGTAACAACTGAGTGTGAGCACGCAGACTGTGAAGGGGTGACAGACTGAGCAAGAGGGCAGGAGGGAGCAACGGAAAATGGAAGACAGGTGCATGCACAAGTGTGCCTGGGTGAGTCATCACTCTTGGACCACAGTGATATCAATGCAACTGTTTTGGAAACCGCTGGGCCAGATACTAAAATACTAAAGCACAGCAGGAATGGATGAGCCTTCTTTGTGAGCATGCTCAGCAGGTTGGCATGGAAAGAACAATGCACAGAAGCTCTCTGGTCTTCTTACAATGGATGGCTGCTTTTCGAGGATGCAAAGACATTTTCCTCTGGTTCCTGGATGCGTCATAGTTTGCTTTCCTTGACCCTGGAGGACTACAGCTGCTGTTCCAAAATCCAGAGAGACCCCGGTCATCAACAAAGCAACTGCAGTAGCAGTAACACTGAGTTCGCTGGACTGCTCCCTTCCCTCTAACTTGGCCTATGCTTTTCTTCTGGGCATGTCCAACGGGAATGGTTAAGCTTTACCAATCCATTTGATAAATAAGCCAGCTCGGACTCCAGTCCCATGGTCACAGAGCTAGACTGGATGAGGGTGAGGGTATGTATGCGTATCAATGTGCAGTCCTGGGGATCTGGACACTGCCCTCGTTATGTAACCCTTGCCCAGAACACTGGAGTCGCTTCCACTGGAGAGACTCCACGGTAACTCTAGAAGTGTCATTAAATACTCAGTTCACCAAGGATGACCACCTCCATTGTCATAGGATGATGCAGCATCTGCAGAATCGCAGTCTGCTGCCCCCTACTGATGGGGGTGAAGTGACAGGTGCGAAGTAGGCGTGGACTTTAATATTGGGTAATTGGGTCCTGAGTCTCTTGGTTCCAGCCCGTGTGACTTACTGGCAGTCATAGAGTTCTATGCTCTCGAGCCTGTGACAACTCTTCAAGTGCTCCAGGGAGGCATCTGTGATTAGTGGGCAATTGTCCAGCTCAGTCACTTCCAGCTGGTCATGAGCCCCATTTCCCAGGTGATGAATTCCATCATCTGTGATCAGCTCACAGTGAGAAAGACTCAATACTTGAAGATGAGGGCAATGCATAGAAAGTTGGATTAATGTGCAGTCTGTTATCTGAACACATTCTTCCAGATCCATCTTTTCAAGTTCATGGCAATTCCTAGCCAGAGTGGTAAAGCCCACATCTGGTAACTGAGAACATCTTGCCACTTCTAATATTTTAAGCCGTGGGCAGTTCTGACCTAGAGCATTAAGGATGGCATCTGTGATGTTGGAGCAGCCAGAGGCACAGAGGGACTGTAACTTATGGCACCCCCTGCATATTGTAATGAGACCATCATCTGTGATTTGCAAGCAAGTCTGTAAGTTCAAAGCCACCAGTTCAGGACAGTGTGCACCTATGTATTTAGAGCTTCATCTTCTGTGTGCAGCCTTTTAAGAATAAAGCCTTGAGACCCCCACAGCCTCTCACTAGTGCTTGGATGCCATCCTTGGTTACTTGGTCACACCAGGAAATATTCCGTTGCTCCAACAGTGGACATCCCTCACTCAGAGCTTTTAGAGACATGTTTGTTATTGATGTACAGGAAGCAAAGTCAAGGTGTCTCAGTTTGGAACAGAACTTGCTAAGGCTAGTACATGTAGCATCTGTGGTCTTTGTGCACCCATTAGATTCAGCACTTCAATATTCCTACAGTTTTGTGCAACTCCAAAATACCCATGGAGACTCAACTTCCGCAAAAGCCCCCACATCTTTTTGAGATATCTTCCACTACTTGGCCCTCAATATCCCTCTGGAAATCAAACAGATCAATTCGTTGCCAGTTACTGCCATCGAGAGCCAGAACATTCCAGGCACTGGAGACCCGAGCACAGCGACACAAGGTTACGACATCCAGAAAAGAGAAGATTCGTAATAGGAGTTCTTTGGGAAGTTTCTTATTGATTACAGCTTCATGGCTATTTGAGAACATCTCAAACCTGCTCTTGGTCACTCCATTCACGTCCCTCCTCATGGGGCCAGTGGGTGCAGCCGCGGCCAGACGCAGGCTGCGGCTGGCAGAGTGCAAAGACGGGCCCAGGGCAGGCCCAGGTGTGTGGGGACCGGGCGGAGGCCAAGGAGGGGCAGGGCAGGGGCCGGAGGACTGGAAGGGAAGGCCGCTGGCCTGCGGCTGGACCTCCACCAGCTCCCGTGGTGGTAGCAGTGGTGGCCGACCAAATTATTATTATTTTGTCATATCTTACACTGTCCGATGTCTCCCTTCACCCACTTTTCTGTTGTCCATTCCCCAGAGAGGAGGTTATATGAAGATCCTTGTAATCGGTTACCCCTTTCCATCCCACCATCCCTCCACCCTCCCGGTATTGCCACTGTCAGCACTGGTCTTGAAGGGATCATCTGTCCTGGATCCCCTGTGTTTCCAGTTCCTGTCTGTACCAGGGTACAACCTCTGGTCTAGCCAGATTTGTAAGGTAGAATTAGGATCAAGATAGTGGGGGGCGGGGGGTGGGGGTGGGGGAAGCATTTAAGAACTAGAGGAAAGTTGTATGTTTCATCGTTGCTATACTGCACCATGACTGACTCATTTCCTCCCCACAACCTTTCTGTAAGGGGATGTCCAGTTGCCTACAGATGGGTCTTGGGTCCCCAATCTGCACTCCCCCTCATTCACAGTGATTTGATTTTTATGTTCTTTGATGCCTGATACCTGATCCCCTTCGACAGCTCATGATCACACAGGCTGGTGTGCTTCTTCCATGTGGGCTTTGTTGCTTCTGAGCTAGATGGCCATTAAATAGAACTTTTGAAGCCCCTTTGTATATTTTTCCAAGCTCTTTCCTTTCCAACGGAGCCAAGCTCTTTCTGACTTTCTGCCATTCCGTATTTGTTATTCATTTAATCTAACTGTGAGTAATACTTACTTGATCCTTCCCTGTAAGTGTAATCAGTCTCTATCACCATTGCTATCCTCTGTGGACCTGACTCACCTTGTCTGTGTTTGCTTCTCTGTGCTGGGTCACCTCACCACAAGGAGCTCTCTTCTCTATGCTCAATCCTTAACGCTGTGACCTGGGCTGCCTGTCCCCTCTGCCCACCAACTGTGCGGTGCCTTTGGTCTTTGTATCTTTCTGCTGGGCCACAGCCCTGCTTTAACATGGAAGCGCACCTCACCCACCCTGAGTCAGGCCAGCCTCGGTGGGTACCCTCATCACCACTGACTTTGCATGGTGAGGCTGCCCTCACTTCACTTAGACTCTGACTTTTTGTGCCCGACAATGGCGCATGAGGTCCCCTGCCTCACCCTATTATCCTGTCATGCTGTCCCACTGCATGGGTGCCCTCCCTACCCTGCTCAGCTTCTGACTGTCAATGGGAGCCTGCCCTAGGCATGGATACTCTTCTCCCTTTATTTTGAACAATGACACTCCACACTGAGCCACCCACCCCCACTGGGAAGACACTTCCAACCTATTCATCTATAAATATTTTAGTGTGTAGCCTTAAAAGATAATGCTTATTTTAAAAAATCCACAAAACCATTATTATCATACCTAAACAATAACAATATTCCATACTATAGAGAAATCTAGTCAAAATCATTTTAATTTTTGGTGTAATTGTATTTAACAGTGAGTCTGTAGGCATACTTTGCTCCCAGATCTCTCACACAGAGATTCTTAAGCACAATTGTAAAGGCTCTTTATGATTTGGTCAATAGTAGCCATAAATATTTACATCCGTGGCCTAAACGCTCTCATCATCCATATAAAGCTGACTCATTTGACACCAGCTAAATTCAAGATTCGTTTCCTTGGAACCTGCCCTACCCCTCCTCAGATCTCCTTCGTATTTTTCCTCACTTCTCCTCCCATACCATTTGGCCGTATTGTCTTATTATTTAACTTCTCAAGGTTGGGAGATGTGTAATGTATATTTTGTATGCCAAACTGATCTGCCACCTTCTGGAATACCTGATACCTACTACTTGCCTCAACCATTTTGTGAGGGCCATCGGGGATACTATATAAGAACTTTTCGTGTAACCTATTGAGCAATATTTTTATGGAATTAGCATTATTACTTTTGTTGTTGTTAGCTTACCTGCTCTCCAAATTCTAGGCCATAATCTGTGAGGACAGAGTCTTATGTTTCCAGAGTTTATCATAGCAGCTAAGCCTCGGCTTTCACTAAATATTTGATAGAAAATAAACTCATTATCTAAGGGAAGTTAGCCAAGTTCCTTCATTCTTCTCCATCAAGTGATACGGAATAGAAATGACAAGATTAAGGAGAGGGAAAAGGTAAGCTTTCTTTAAAAAAAAATAATTCTTTTGTCCCTCTTGCAAATCTGATAGGTTTATCTCAACATGTAGTTACCAACTATAAACAAGTAATTCAACTCTTGGAGGCGGGGATAGCAAACAGGTAACAGATTTGTTCCTATTCTTTCATCTCATTCACCTGACCTCTGTTCTCATATTCCCCTTTGGGGGACTGTGTATGATGATACTTACAATTGTCTCTGTCTGCAGCTTCCACACCCACAATCAGGGACCCTTCTCAGAACAGCCAGATACTCAGGGTGAGGAGCAGTAGCGGAGACTAGCTGCTCTCTCCCTAGTACTGATACCAGATAACAAAATAGTAGGCAGTGAGTCCAGAGCGTGTCTCTGTTCCTTGTCTTCTGACACACCGTTTCCAACATTCGGATCAAAGAAAACATTCTTGCACTGTTCTCTCCTCAGGCCAGTAAGTGTAAAATGTTTTCAGAAAAAAAAATTTTTTTTCAGTTTATCATCCTTGAAAAGGATAAAAGATAAAAATCTGTCTTCGGGCTATTCTTTGATAGCTAAGTGATGTAGTTGAAAGTTATTGTAAATTTTGACAATACTGCATATTATCGGTTACAATAAAATACTCAGGTTATCAATAAATGCTTCAAAGGAATGGTTTCTTTTCTGAAAATAAGTATTTAGAGTTTTCAATTTTTCCCCTATTAATAGAGAGTGCAAGTTAGTTGGGCTTTAGGCCCAAGAAAACGACCCAATGTTCTCCTTGTGGGACTTCTTATAAGACGCTCTCCCGGAGGCCCATCTTGTCTTCAGTTACCCTGAGCTTCTTGAGCTGTACAAGTGTCAGCTTCACCTTTTCCTCTGCTTCCTAGAGAATGAGGCTGCCTCCAGATGTTTGCTCCTTTTCTTCAGCTCTTCTGAAGACAAAAGCCAATGCGATGGCCTTAAACTGAAGCATGATTGACGTAGATTTAGTTTAAAGGGAAAACTGCTGACTTTAAAGAGTGAACGTTGGAATTGGGTTCCTCAGGGAGACTTCTGGATCCCATCTGGTTTAATCATGATGTGGACATAATCCAACATGTCCTTTGTGGCATATGCGATTCTATGTTGAGTCACAGCCTGCTTCCCCTGTCTTTGAGGCTTCTTTGGTCCATCTTGGGGCTGTTTTTCCATGTTGATGATACTCGTAGTCTTCTGTTCACTCAGATTTTTGTTTCTATTGCTTTTTTTTAATGTTTTGATTCGTTCTAGCATGGTTTAATATGAAGCTACTGTATCTCCTATTCTTAGATTTCAGCACATAGTGCTGTAGCTGCCTGCTTTGGCTCTAACTAATCTAAAATAGGTCCTTTATTATTCTCACCTGAGCCGCCTAACACACTAACGTTTCTTCTGTTTCCTCTGGATCATTACAGATTCACCATGCGTGAACCACTCAGGACCTAACTGTCTTCCTTTGTGTCCACAGACTCACAGCCGCCACCCACGTGCATGCAGCCAGCAGCAGATCACACGCCATCCTCACCGTGCACTACACACAGGTGGGTCACCTTGTGTTCATGAGGCTTCTCTCCTTTCCCTTTGGACGACTCATCGTTCTTCCCGTTTTCCTTTCTACTCCCTTCCATTAACAGACCCTCTGATAGGACTTCATCATCTAGAATCCACATGCAATCGATGATGGCAGAGCGGGCTGAGACATTTCATGCAGAGTCATTAAAGTATCTTATATTTTACTTTTAACACTTCAAATTTTACTTTACATTCTTTATGTGATCTGTATGGTCATTTAAAATGAAAAACAAGTTTGAAGTGAAATTAAACATTAAAATTAAAGGTAGGATATTCACCTCCATTATGAAGGAGTGAAGAGGTTGACACATTCTCCCCAACAGTTAGTGTAAAGCTGGAGCAAATCCGCCAAAAAGAACCATTTCTATGCCCTGAAAATTGACCAAGAAGGACAATAAACAAAAATATTTATTTTTGAACATTGAATTTTGGTTGAGCTATGCAAATGTATGGTATTCGTTCCACCTCACCTGCACCCTTACCTCTGTGGGTAGTGTAGTTTGAGTAGGGCAAGCTGTGAAAATATACCTCTGCCCATTGGGCACACTTGAGTCGGAGCTTGTCACTTAAAATGATGACCTTGGTGGCCAGTGAGCCAGGGCGGCCAGTGGCTTCACCAGTCCCAGGTTGTGGGTTAGTTTTCGGCAAGACACCGACTCCCAGGCCATCTGGAACTTAACAGGGAATTTCTGGAGGTAATGCAGGTTATCACCACCACAACAAACAAGACAATTACTAATTCCTCAGTACGATCCTCACATCCCCTGGGTTGCCTGGAAGCTGTGCACATGTGCAACAGAGACCAACTGGATACAAGCCAGGTGGCCCTGACTGTCATCTATATCCAGAGGGCCCTTTAACTAGTGAAAGCTAGCCAGAAAAACAACCTACCATGACCCTGTAAGCACAGACTGGCACCTGTGCCCTAAGCTTACTGAGACTGTATTAGAGCAGACGGTCTCCTCTGTCTCCGCGGAGTGACTGGGAGTCTGGAACCTCACAGCGAATGCCTGGCACTACAGGGCTCCTTGAGAGTGCGAGAGCCGCTTGAAAACGGCTCTGGCGGACTTCCGATGTCTGGTCTAACTTCTGACCGGTTTTAGATTTTCCATTTAGGTTTTTTGAGTACGTTGGCTAAAAATCCAAAACATCACCACGGTTAAGAGAGGGTCTATGGGGGGGAAAATCTCACAAAGTTCTACATGATCAGTTTTAAATGTCTTTTTCTCCTTTAGGCAGTCCTGGAGAATGACCTCCCCTCAGAAATTGCTAGCAAGATCAACCTTGTGGATCTAGCAGGCAGGTAATTAGTATTTCAAAGCCAAGGGCAATAACTCCCATGACAATCCCATTGCGGAAGGAATAAGCTGGTCCCAACCTCTCTCACTTTCAATTACCCTGAGAGAAAATTCAAAAGAAATGACTTCTTCGAATGCCAGGCTAAGAAGTCGTAGTTTTCCAAGTTCCTCTCATCAGAGGTTCTCAATCTTAAACCCAAACCAAATTCACTGCCATCGAGTCAATTCCAACCCAACTCCATTCTCAATCTAAGTTGCCATTAAAGTCGCATGGGAACATCTTCAAACTCCCAGTTCCTTTGTAACAAGTCGGGTCCTTTAGACCAGTTACTGGGTAGGGAGGAAGCAGTGCAGGTGTCAGCGGCTTTCAAAGCTGCCCAGGTGATTCCAATGTAGAGCATAGGTGAAAAAAGCACTGTGCGGAGTGGAAGCACACCTTCCCTTGACTTCATTGGCTTATTTTGCAACTCTGTGTTAGTAAAAAAAAAAATTAAATATATTGTGGGAGCGGTGGGGGAAGGATACTCTTTTCATGAATTACAAGAAAGAAAAAATTTAGTCACATATACAGTATATGGAACCCTGGTCATATAGTGGTTACGTGTTTGGGTTGTGATTCTCATGGTCGGCAGTTCTAAACCAGTTTCTCCCACTCTGGGAAAAAGACTGGGCTTTCTACTCCCCAAAACATTTACAGTCTCCGAAACCCACAGGGGCTGCTCTGAGTCAGCATTGACTCGATGGCAGTGAGATATATTCAGAAAGTGTCTAAGATAAAATCAGGTACCTTTTCTTATTTTTAAATTGCTATGCAAAGTAGAACTAAACACAATCTGCAAGAAACTGTATGAGCCAATGTAAGGTGTGACTTTGTACTGTTTCCCATTACTTGAAAAATTAATTTTAGATGGTTGACAGTTAATAACTAATATTCTAAAGCCATTAATGTTTGAATTTAAAAACAACAAAGGTAGAGGGCAAGTACTATACGAGAATCTATTTTAACATCATTATTGAAAATGAGCTTACATTTAGCCACAATTGTTCTAGCAGTCAAATGAGTAATACATAAGTGTAATGAATTATTTGATTTTCAGAAGCAGAAGCATGCCACCAACTCTTTACAAAATGACAGTTTTCCTGAAACTAAATTCTAAGCACATTTGTTATGATGTGGGCCTTTTACAACATGGTGTACAAGATAATGGATGGTGTTCTCAACAGCATTAGCGGGACCCCATTTTCTTTTTTTTTGGCGGGGGGCTTTCAATTCTGTTCCATTTATTTATTTATTTTTAAATCATTTTATTGGGGGCTTGTACAACTCTTATCCATTGTGTCCAGCATATTTGTATATTCGTTTCTCTCATCATTCTCAAAACATTTGCTTTCTACTTGAGCCCTTGGTATCAGCTCCTCATTTTTCCCCTCCCTGCCTCACGAACCTTTGGTAATTTGTAAATTATTATTATTTTGTCGTATCTTACACTGTCCAACATCTCCCTTCACCCACTTTTCTGTTGTCCATCCCCCAGGAAGCGGGTATGTAGATCCTTGTAATCGGTTCCCCCTTCCTATCCCTCCTGGTATTGCCACTGGTCCTGAGGGGTTCATCTGTCCTGGATTTCCTGTGTTTTTAGTTCCTATCTGTACCAGTGTATATCCTCTGGTCTAGCCATATTCATAAGGTAGAATTGGGATCATGATAGTGGGGGCAGGAAGCATTTAGAAACTAGAAAAAAGTTGTATCTTTCATCATTGCTACACTGCACCCTGACTGGCTCATCTCCTCCCTGCAACCCTTCTGTAAGGGGATGTCCAGTTGCCTACAGAGGGGCTTTGGTTCCCCACTCTGCACCCACCCCTCATTCACAATAATATGATTTTTGTTCTTTGATGCCTGCTACCTGATCCCTTCGACACCTCATGATCACACAGGCTGGTGTGCTTCTTCCATGAGGGCTGTGTTGTTTCTGAGCTAGATAGCCACTTGTTTTCTTTCAAGCCTTTAAGACCCAAGATGCTATATCTTTTGATAGCTGGGTACCATCAGCTTTCTTCACCACATTTGCTTATGCACCCATTTTTCTTCAGCGATCTGTTGGGAAGGTGAGCATCATGAAATGCCAGGTTAATAGAACAAAGTGTTCTTGCATTGAGGGAGTACTTGAGTGGAGACCCAATACAGGACCCCGTTTTCTTGTTTGCATTTGTTTTGTTTTGTTTCTTTTGCTGTTTTATAGTGAAAGAGCTGATCCTAGCTACTGTAGAGACCGGATTACAGAAGGAGCCAATATCAACAAGTCCCTTGTGACTCTGGGGATTGTCATCTCCACCCTAGGTATTGTGATGATAGACTGTGTCATAGGATTGGGAGGGAGCCTTTGGAAAATAACTGGTAAATTTTATTTTCCATACTGGAGGTAGATACTACAACGTCCTTTTCCTTAAAGTTACCATATTGGGGGGCGGTTCATGAAAAATTGATAATTTTGTGGGGGTGTATAATTTGACTGTAGGCTCTAGTTCCAGGGGCTCCAAAAAGTTCATGAAAAAAATGCAAAGGAAAGATGATGAATTTTTTCCTCATGAACTTTTTTAAGTGCCCTCCCCATCCCAAATGTGACTATCACTCTAGAACAATCATTTCAAAAAGATAGAAGACAAAAGCAATTCGTGTCAAGAGTCCAAAGCCTGTTCTCCCACTACTGTATTGTTTTAACCTACTTGGGGTGTGTTTACTTCATAATACCTTCTTTCTTCTACTTCTTCTTTTGTCTTTTAAGCCCAGGACTCTCAAGTATTCAGCAGCTGCCAGAGCCTCAACAGTGCAGTCAGTGATGGTGGTGACAGTGGGGTCCCTAGCTCTCCTGGGGCCAGCAGTGGAGGGGGACCTTTCCGGAGGCAGTCTTACATCCCATACCGGGACTCTGTGCTGACCTGGCTGCTGAAGGACAGCCTTGGGGGCAACTCCAAAACCATCATGGTTGCCAGTGAGTGGGCGCTGAATCTGGTTCTGTGGTGGGACTGGTGCTGTGCCTCCAATAGAGGACATTGATGGCCAGGACTCTTCATTCCCTCAAGGGTCTCACTTACAACCTGACTGTTGCAGCTAGGCAAGTGGTAAGGGCTGGGTTGGAAGGGCTTGGCATTCATTTCGAACATTTCCCTCCTACCTCAGCTGTGTCTCCTGCACACACCAGCTACAGTGAGACCATGAGCACTCTGAGATACGCGTCCAATGCCAGAAACATCGTCAACAAGCCTCGGGTGAATGAGGTGAGACACCCTCACCGATGTCCTCGTCTGGCACCGCTCGCACCAAGTTCTATCTCTTTTCTCTTGTTGATCCCTTTCCATTTTGTAGTTGCTGCAGCTTGTCAGATATCGTCTCCAAATGATGACAAAGTGAAATTCTTTATCTCTGCTGAAGTTACTTCAGTAACTTTTCATGAATAATTTAGCTACTTCTCGAAGATCCCTGATGCACTGTTGCCCTGCTAAGATAGGTGATTGAAAAGTGTGTGTGTGTGTGTGTGTGTGCGCACACGCGCGTGCGTGTGCGCGCGCTGTTCTGATTTTGAATTTGTTGACTTGTGCCTGCTATATTTCTTTTCTATGCAAATTGCCGTGATTCCATTTCAGGCGAGAAGAGGAGAATGAGGAATTCATTCGTTCTGAAACTTGAATCATTTGAGAGTATTCCAAGTGTTTTTGGACATTTCAGGGAAATGTTATTGGCAGTTTCAGGGAAATATGCCTGGGCAGGGTTTGCTGCCTAGAGGCCAAACACACACAGCCCACCTGCAGACGGGTTAGAAAGGCAGTGTAAGGGCAGATGCTAACGGTAGTCTAATCATGACTTTGAACTGGTTCATTTGGTTTGATCCCCAGCTGAGAATTTGCACTTCCAACCTCAGAGAGACCGAATCAGAATCTACACCTCAACAAGATTGCCAGAATCTTGAAGAACCATTTAGGATTAAATATATAGATTCGGATTCAGAAAATCTAGGGTGGAAAAGCAAATTCTCAGCAGGTGATCTAACCAGAAACACAGCAGTTGGAAACCTTGATCATAATACTCCTACAGAAAGTTTAGTACCTACTACCTCTGCCTGCTCAGGCATTTGTGTTATCTTCCTGACTTCCTACTGTAAGGCAGTGATGTTCAAACTTGAGCGTATATCAGAATCACCTGGAGGGTTTTTTTAAACCATGGCCCCACCTGCCAGTATTTCTGATTTAGTAGGTCTGGGTAGGGCCAGAGAATTTGTATTTCTGACTAGTTTCTTGATGAAGTTGATAGGACTTGGGTCTGGGGCCACTCTTTAAGACCCTCTGTTCTGGTAATCCACTTTTTCCCAGGGAGATAAGTGGGGAAAGACTAGGGACCCGCGATCAATCAGTGGTGACCAAGTCTGCTCTGTTTCAGGATGCAAATGTAAAGCTGATCAGAGAACTCCGAGAGGAGATCCGAAGGTTGAAAGCCATGCTGCTGAGCTTTGAACTGGTGCGTAGGCCATCGGAACTTTTCCATGCTCAGATGGGGTTCTCCTCGAGCCCTGCAGAGTTCACTTGGGAAGGTCTGCGCCTTTGCATAGGATCTGAGGCCTGCTGCATTCCTGTGCCTCCGCTGAGTGGAAGTCGTGAGCAGAGGCAGGAGCAGACAGGTTTGCTGCTAGGTGCTGTGAGTCGGTGCAGACTCCTGTCGACCCTGACACTGCCCTGCGCCGTCCTCACAACTGTTCTTCAGTTGGGGGCTTAAATGAGTTTTGGGTTCCGAATGGAGCAGGTGTCTCCTTTCTACAGCACCCGTTGTCCAAAGGGAATTTTCCATATATGTAGGTAGATGTGAAATCAGGGTCCTCTAGGAAGATTTCTTTGAATTCTCTACTGTGTACCAATGTGAGGGTAAATATTTAGGCTTCTGGTTTCTGATTTTCATGATAATGCCTTTACCTGCCCTTTATCCTCCTTCGTAAGAGGGAGGGTAGGGTCCAGTGGATGGCAGAGCAGAGACATCTCAAAGCACAGCCCTCTCTTTCTATGCAGAGGAACTGCAGTTCACTGAATGATGAAAAGGATGCAAATCTGAAGGAGCTGGTCCTTCAAAATGAGTTGAAGGTGAGTGTGGCGGGTGGGGGCGGGGGGTGGGGGGGCTGGTCAGTGGTGCTTCCCATGTCCCTGGGAACAAGTCTGCCCTTCCATTACTCCGGGGCCACAGTTGCCCCTCGCAGGGCTGTGAGGGTTTACCCAGTTTTAAGGACAGCCCTGTCTTCACAGAGCCTCAAGTGAAGATGTGTTTGCCTCAGGGCTTTCTGACATTCTGTTTTGTACTCTTGGGTTTTTGTATAGTGACAATAATCTGAAAAAAAACAATTTCTTCTCAGTAAACCAATCACCAGATGTGTATGTATTGATCACCTAACATTAAATACTCAGCTGCTAACCCAAAGACTGGCAGTTCAAATTCATCAGCCATGCTGCAGGAGAAAGAAATGTGAAACTCTATGGGACAGTCCTCTGTCCTGTAGGTCCAATGTGAGTCGGTGGCAGTGGGTTAATATATGCCCACCATGATACTGTAAGAAATGCAAAGTGTTTCCCTCAAGTAGCTTGAAAGAAGTTCTTGCCTTCATGTGGCTTGCAGTCTTGTTGAAAACACATCTAGAGAATGGATAAGTACAATACACTCTATGGTTGAGATCACTGTTTCCTGAAGTGGACGATACCACTCTCTGGGGGGTGTTGGGACAACCCAGGAGGGCTGCAAAAGCTAATCCCTACTTTATCTTGGATTATGGGCTACAGTACAAACGTTTTTCATTGTCAGGAGGGCACTGAGTAATTTTCGTTCTGGAAAGAGGGCAGTTCCTAGGCCAAGTAAGTCTAGGAACATATGATTTAGATGAAAGGAGTTTAGAGAAGCGAGAAATGGATGGATTGGGATTTTCAGAGCAGGCATCAAGATGGGGCAGGGATTAGAAGACAGAGAATTAAAACTAGGCTTCTAAGGGTTGATAGGGTGTTAGATGGAGAGAACGGGGGTGGCCTGTTGGGTGAGGTAGGGGGTATCATAAACAAAGCCATGGACTGGGGAGAAATAACTGGTGGGGACACACATGGCTGAGCTACAACAGGTGCCCACGGTAGGTATAATGAGCAAGGTTGTGGCCATGTAGCAGGTTTAAACTTGTCATGAGCAAGATTAATTCTAGTTTCTTGAACCAGGTTGGTGACATAAAAGAGTGTTTTAAAGAAATTAATATCTCAGTTGTATGTGGGATGATTTGAGGGGAGGGAAAACTAGAAGCACAGAGGTCAACCAGAGGTAAGTGTAGCCATACCTCAATCCTTTTTCAGATTGTTCCACCACCATTCACATGAACCCCTTTGGGGACATGAACAGATACTGTTGAAAGCTAGGTTCTTTTTTCAGTGAAAATTAATGCATGAAAAACTTTCATTATCTTTCAATTCCATTTTTTTTTTCAGCAAAACTTTTGAGCTTCCCCCACTAGTATTTTTTTTCATTTGCTCCTGATACATATTAATTGCTCTGTATTTTCTTAGTGTTGTTGATTTATCATTACCTGGTCTTTCATATCAACTTCATATAGCCTTAATTCTCCTGAGGCCTGAGGGAGCTCTCAATGCTTTGTTAGACTTTAAACCATATGCAAGTTTATATTATAAATCATGGTACTACATCTTTGTGAAGAAATATCAGGTCATAAAGTTATCCCCAAGTATGGATCACACAGAAGTGGGATAGGGGAAAGGAGGATTATAAACATAAATGCTTGACTAATATCCCTGTTTAAAAAAATAACTTCTTAAATGACATGCATGGATTTATTTCATGATTATAAAAATAATACATGTGCATTGCAGAAAACATGTAAATAACCTTTATTGAGGGGGGTTCTATTTATAACAGTAACATTTGCTTACTGAAGAAAACTTAAAGAGCAATGCACGTTTGCGTCCTGCTTGTTCAAGCTGGAAGAGGTGCGAGGGTCTGTCTCTGGCGGTCTGAATAGCAGACACGGTGAGGAACGTGAAAAAACCCGTCAGGAAGACTTCCCACCATCAGTCCCTGCCCACACCGAGTAGCTGAGATCGCCCCCCATCTCCCACCTCTGCAGATTGACAAGCTGACTAAGGACTGGACCCAGCAGTGGGGTGACTGGAAGGCCCTCCTGGAGCTCTACAGTGTGGACATCAACAGGAGGAGGGCGGGGCTGGTCATTGACTCCAGCCTGCCACACCTGATGGCCCTGGAGGACGACATGCTCAGCACGGGTGTTGTGCTCTATCACCTCAAGGTGAGGACCCTCTTTCTTCAGGAGCTGCTGGCCTGAGAGGTCAAGGAGGGAAATACTGGGGCAGTAGCCACGTTTCTCTGAACTGAAACACGTCTGCTCTCAAGAAACGGATCTAGTCAGCCCGTTGGGATGTTTTCCTTTTGATGAACAGAGCAGAGCACTAGCGACCAGAACAAGCATTCATCTTGAAGCTGTAATTCCATTGCTCTAAGATAGCTTGCTTGTTCTCTGTACTTAAGTTTCCTCATTTTAAGGTAAGCACATTACCTCTTTTGTTCCTCTTATGACTTCCTGAGGGACAAGAGAGCAGTCTGGAGCATTAAACCCAAACCTCAGAAGCCACTAGCACACACAGATGGTGCCTAAAGGCTAAGGAGGAATTAAAAACATATGAAGCCCTTTGCTTCAATACTTCCCCACTACCTTCTGTGCCCAAATAACAAAAAGTACACCTCCCACTTTTCCATCACTAGGTTAACATGAAAAAGGAGTGAGAAGGAAGTTATGTATAAAACATGAAGGAGGGGCCAAGGGGGTGGGCTGGAGAGACTGTTGACTGCATGCATTCACCTAGGAAAAATCAGAGTAACAGTGTGGTCCTCCAGAAAAAGCCTGGCTCTTTGTTACCTGGTGGCCAACTCCTCATTTCCAAATGAAGCTATTTGAGACTCAGTGACTGATGGTAACTGGAACCTTATATCCTTGTTCTTGTCAAATGTGTTTATCATCCGGGGAGAGGACTATCCTTGTGTCCTTACTGTCTTCCTCAAGCCGAGCCCAGTGGTCCTGTGCAGATTGGCCACACCCCAGGGACCGAAAGCCCTGGTCTTTATATTTGTTTTCCTTTAAACCATTTTATGGGCATTTCATCTAGATATCATGCAATTCAGTGGTTCAGTCATATCAAGAAAAGTTGTACAATCATTACCGCAATCAATTTTAGAACGTTTTCTTCTTCCTTGTACTCATTATTATTAGTGTAATGTTTTAATGGTGGCAAAAGTATGCACAGGAAAACATTCTCCAATTCAACAGCTTCTACATGTATAATTTAGTGCTACTGATTATATTCTTTGTGTTGTACAACCATTATTGATACCTTTTTCCAAATTATTCCATTAACTTAAACTCAGTGCCCCCTAAGCTAAACTCTTCCTCCTTCACTCATTGGTCAAGTTTGATTTCTTTTTCTATGGTTTTCTTGTGATATAACATTCACATATCACACTTCTATAGTTAAATTGCTAGTAAGAAGAGTTGCATAGACATCATCACAGTCACAGTGTCCCTCCCACTCCCGCATCCATTGTTTGCTCTCTAGTTCCCTTCACCTACCCCCCAGCCCCACCCTGTCCCCATAACCATCGCAGCAGTTATTGTCTCCAAACAGCCACTCCCTCTGTGCCTCATAAGCTGGGGAACCTAACAGAAACAATAAAAACAAAAATTAAAAAATAGAAGAAAATAATAGTAATAATAGAAAGAAAAAAGTAAGAAAGACTACCAACAATATTTAAAAACCCAGAGAAGAAATTTCTGTTGTGGAACAAGTGAGAAATATTGAACTTAGAGCAAATTCAGTGAGGGAGACCAACTGACCAAATATCATCTACCATGGTTTAGTCCACCCTACTCAAGTTTACAGGGGTCTCTGTCTGATAGTCCAGCTGTTGGAGTCCCTTGCCTGCGGCCAGAGGAGACCTGTCAGAGGCTTAATCGGACCAGATGCTCTGCAGATGGATTCCGGGCTCCCACTGTCCTCCACAGCCTTCTACACATTGGATGTTCACCATTTAAACTCTGATACTCTTCCCTTTGTCATATCTGGATTTTGTTATGGTCATCTTTGGATCACGCAGGCTGGTGGTGAGCTTCTTCAATGTGGACTTAACTGACACCTTGCTTAGATGGCTGCTGTGTTTGAATACAAGTTTTTTATACCCCAGACA